GTGCCCTCTCGATGGCTCCCGCTGTGGTTTGCGGGACTCCTCAGCGTGCTGGCAATAATTCGAGGTTGTGGCTCCAAATTTCGAGTCGGGCTCTTCTTGCCCGGTGAGGAGCCCCTGCAGAGGGCTGGCAGGAGGCCAAGCTGATGGCCAGGAGCGTTTCCTCTTGGCCCAACCATTGCTGCCTTTCCTGCCACAGCAGCGACAGAGGAAGCACAGCCCCGAGAGCCTTGCAGGACCTGTCTGGTTCCAGGAGCTGGAACCCCCTTTCCCAGGCTTGGGGCTCACTCCTGGCTGCTGCTGTGGACACCCAGCTCTGGAGCACTCTCCAGCCCCATCCTCTGCAGCCCCTGGAGCTGCTGGTCCTCGGGAGCCTTGTAGGACCTGTCTGGTGCCAGGAGCTGGAATCTCCTTTCCCAGCCTCGGGCCTCTGGAACACTGGAACCCCCTTTCCCAGCCTCGGGGCTCACTCCTGGCTGCTGCTGTGGACACCCAACACTGCCCAACCCCATCCTCTGCAGCCCCTGGAGCTGCTGGTCAGCCAGGGTGCCCAGCCAAGGCTCTCTGGGCAGTGGGTGCCCTGGCACTGAGGTTTCTGTGCCCTCTGGGACACAGCCCGTGCCTGCCCAGCTCCTCAGGCTGCCTCTCCCTCCTGGGAGGGTTTGCAGAGCCCTGGGTTGGGCTCCAGCTGATTCCAGCCTTGGAGTGCTGGGCAGGGCTGGGTGCACAGCTGGTGATGCCAGGATGTCCCCTGAGTGTGATTTACCTTTGTCCCTTCCTGCAGTCTCCTGGCAGGCCAGGTGTGTCTGTGCTGGGAGGCACTGGTGGGAATGTCTCTGTGGCTCCTGGTGCAGCCAGGGTTGCGGCCTTTGCCCTCAAAGTGGCTCGTGGGGCTGAGCTGGGCACACAACACACCCTGGGAGTGGGGCAGGGTGGTGGCCAGGCCAGGGAGCACCTGCTTGGAGCTGCCATCCCCACATGGGAGCCATCATTTTGTGTGCCTGAGGTCCAGGAGCAAGCTGAAGGTTTAGGAGGATGTGAGCAAAAGGTTAAAGGCTGGCATGTGTTTTTAAAAGGCCTGACCTGGAGCAGGAGGCACAAGAGCTGCACGTGGCTGGAGATCCTCAGCTGGGATTGCTGATCATCTGCATGGAGAATGTGATTTTGTGTCATGTTCCTGCCCCGAGGGGATGCAGGGTCCAGCAGCTTGGGAGCTGGGGCCAGAGATCATTTGGAGTTCAGAACAGATTTTTTTTTTTAATTTCCTTTTGAAGATGAGGAGAAGTGCAGTCAAATGGAGCCTTAGAGGCTCTGGCAGATTTGGTGGCCCTTGGCTTTCCAGTCGCAGGTTGGAGCTCTGCTGTGCTGGATGCTTCAGCTGAGGAGGAGCTGCTGCTGTCAGCTCTCAGGACATGAGGTTTTAGGACCCAAACACAGAGGCTGGATGGCCCTTTTTTGGGCTTCTTGTTAAGAAGCTCATGTGTGTGAGTTCAAAACTGAAACTGCAAGATGCACCCTCAGCTGCAACCCCAGGAACAGCTCCACACACTGAGCCTCCCTTGTGTCATCTGCACAGGGCTCAGGGAGCCTGCAATTGTGAGGGGCTTTTCTGCAGGAGGATCTGTGAAAGCACCACGGGTTTGTGTCCCCCCCAGGCCCTCTGGGGGCCCTGCTGCTGGGACACAGTGGTGACAGCCTGTGTGTTGCATTTTCAGTTCTGCATGTGCTAAAATAGAAGCGCTCGCTTCCCCTCTGCAGGCTGCCCCTCCTCCTGAGCAGGGCAGGACACAGGACACCATGTCACCAGGCCACCAGCCCCCTGTCCTTGGGGTGCTGTGGCCAGGAGGGTGTGTTTGGCTTGTGCCATGCTTTGGGGGCAGCTCTGAGGGTGCAGAGCCCAGAGCTGGGGACAGGGTGCTGCCAGGAGCTCAGGGAGGTCCCCCCAGTGCTGCCTGGCCCTGTTGATCCATGTTCATGTGGGCTCAGGGAATCCTGTGCCAGCTCTGGGGTGGGCGGGGTGCAGGACAGCCAGGCTGTGTGGGGCCATGGAGGGGCAGCAGGGCCATGCAAGGGGGACTGGGGGCTGATGTGGGAAGAGAGCTCTGGGTCTGATCTGCTCTCCTTTGTCCTTTGCCAGGGCAATGGCCCCAGCGACGGCCTGGTGTCACAGCATGGCCGAGAGGGCAGTGGGGAGTCACCAGCCCTGGAGATGGCCGTGAACTCCATCTACTACACCAGAGATGAAGGTGGGACCTGCTCTGCCCTGACCTGGGGACACCTCCCACGGAGCCTTGTCCCCATCACTGGGGCCATGCTGGGCATTGCCTGTGTCCCCTGAGCAGCCCTGTCCCCACAGTGGGATTAGGTGTCCCCTGAGC